CTTGTAATTACTTGAAGATGATGAGGGTGAGAGAGTAAATATGTTATTTTCGAAACCAAAAAAAAAAAAAAATTTGATGGCATTTTCGTGAATTATATGAACTTGTGGGGTGAATTGGGCAAAATAAAGTTCCAAAAAAAAGGGAGGTTAGTTTTGTGGTTGACTTCAAGTTTCAGGTCAATTCTGCAAAAAGCCCTTAATATATATACGATCACTTAATTAATATTAGAACTTTGATTTGCATCCCTGTTCGAGTGTTTGATTTAACTTGTGTTCAAGATAAATTTATAAACAGCTAGTTTTATAAAAAAATTATATTTTTATATAAGTTTTGTAATTTATATATAGAATAAAATATATTATTTTATAATATAAATGTTTAATAATAATTTTTATTTGTACATAAAATTATATTAGAATTTTTATAACTTGAACTAGTTTGATGTAATAGTACTATTCATATATTAAATATATTGTTTTTGTTAATTTATTTTAAAATTAAATAACATATTAAAAGTTAATTTTTATATTAATTTTCTATGAACTATCATTAATTTTATGATATTTTTTCTTGAAAATTCAACTATCGAAATTTTATATTTGATTAAATTAAATAAGGTAATAGTATATTTTAAAATTATTTTGTATAATAGACTATATATTCAAATTTTGTTTTTTATTTTCAGCCAAAAGAAAGAAAAACTATTGTAATTAATTAATTCACATTGAATTTAAATATAATGGCAAAATCTGTAAATAAAAAATAAAATAAAAAGTATTTAATTTATTGTAAATAGAATAATTAAATATGCAAATAAGAAAAAGTATTTAATATGCTATCTATGTTTCTAAATAATTTTCATTAGTCCTATTATTTTTATTTTCAAACAGTATTAAAAAGTACTTCAATTTTAATAATATAGATATTTGAACATAATCCATCCATAGAGTATATTCTACACACACAGTAATTAAGTACAACAACTGTCATCAAATATAAATTTTGTTTTTCATCAAATATAAACTTCTTTTATTACAGCAATAATTTCCATGAAATCGTTAACTCCGAAGTCTCAGAAGCATGCGTCCAGAACACAACAGCAGCATATGGCAGCACAACTGCCAAAAGACAAGACCACTTACATTAGTTTCCTCTTATTTTCTTTGCAATTTTTTGGTAGGGAATATGAGTTAATTTAAAATAGCATCAGTTTCTGAAAACCTAAAACACACAAAATTTGTTTTAGCAACCTACGTAACAGTAGTCCATGCTTTAATTATTGAATATTTTGCAAAAAAAAAGAATTGATCAGCGTATTAATCATACAAAAGTAAATTGAAAGAATATGTATATACCATCCTTTCCAAAACCCATCGCCCTTAGACTTCGTCTCCACTGCGGCCGCCTGAGGATCACCCACCATCGCATCTCTGGTCGGATAACCAAGCGGCGGCGGGCTTGTGTACAGCCCCTGTGGAGGTTTTTCCACTACAGCTACAAAAATATTATTAACTAAGTTATATAACTAATTAATGTTTATGGAATAACTGTTGGAAATACGGATAACGATCTTGAATAAAAAATTTAAATTGAAGAGGAGGATTACCTGAAGATGTGCTGTGATCGGGTTTATTCATTTTAACTTAATGATAAAGTTGTGAGGAGCTGAGGATTATGAAGAGGAGATCGAGTGTTGTGGTTTTAATTTAAAGAAGACGAATATTATGAAGTCTAATAAGAAAATAATTATCAAAGGGTTGGTGATGTCTATATAAATTGCTAGAGGTTATGCAGACGCGGACGAGAAAAGCAGGTATGGACTTGTTAAGATAATTGAGTGGTTGAATTCAACTTTAGGTATTATAAAATCTTGCATGTGTACGTTTATAATAGTGATATATATTATGAAGGTTTTAAAAGTTTGAAGTTTTATCCAAATATGCTTTCTTTAGTGAATACTATTAGATTTTTGTTTAACAACTATTTTATTTATATAATGTATAATGTATACCATTACAAAGAAAATAACAAAAAAGATACAATCGACTGTAAATTTAAAATGAAAAAAAATACAATAAAACAGATAAAATAAATATTGAGGTAGCTTTTTTCTAAACCATCTTCTTCCAATAGAATTTTCGACTATATAATCCTGCGTTCAACATGATGCTATTTTTGAAAACTAATGTGTTATGAAATTTACTGTGTTTTCGACTATGATTATTTGACCTGTAATTAATTATTTATAATTCTATATATTTTCATCGAAACCATTTACACAAATTTATAAAAATGTGAATAATTTATGTATATGTATTGACATTTTTATGTCTGAGACAAGTAATTAATGGACTAACGCCACCGTGTTTGAACAATAAACACCTAACTCAAAATTATTGCTATGGTCCTTAAAACTACGCGTCAGCTGTTTGAAATTTCATAAGTGTTAAAAGATTCGGTTTTCACTTCGTAAATTTGGAGTTATACGTTAACTAGGCATCAAGTCTTTCAAAATGAAAAAAAAAAAATCACTAAATAAACATTATAATCTTTAATTAATGCTACGTATTATAGAGCTCAGGTTCGATTTCGCGACAGCAAGATATGAAAATTATATATGGATTAATTATCATTCATTAACATGGTTGAGATATCACTGTTAGGTATACTTAACTTTTCCAATTACAGATTTTATTTGTTTGAAAGCCCTCTAAATAAGTGTGTAGTAGTTAAGAATCTAAAATAAGTGTGTTGGAACATTTTCTTGCTTCTTGTAAATTATATTGAACCAAATTTATCAAAAACACATGATTTAATGTTATTATTTAAAACTGTTTCTTTATTGTCATTATGTTAGAACATGATTAATCTGAAGTTTTTAGGAAGAGTTATTCGCGGAAGTTAGAAAATAGTTTCTTAATTTTGGATAAGAATTCAGTCTAAGAATTATGGGTTAATCATAAATTTTAGGGATAGATTTTCAAACCTACCATAATCTTTTTGCTAAAGCTTTAACTGCCACACATAGTTATCAATCAGAAGTAGAGGTGGGGAGAATCCGTACCGTAGATGCCAACTTTTCTCTTAAACTTTTTTTAAATTGTTTATAACTAGTGAGAGACTAAGTTAAGAATCGATCGAACTATTCTAACCCATAACTTTATTCTTTATCATTTGTTAATACTTATGTTTTTTCGAAGGAAGAGTTCTCACTCGGACATCTTGATTATAGTTACATCAAATAGTAGTAGTATATTAGATGGGTATCTCAAATTACTGAGAACTTTATGTCATTATAGCTCCAAGCCTCAAACTATTTTATTTGACGAGATTCAGATATTTTAATAAATTAAAGTAATGTAGCTTTTTTATATTTGGTAAATTAATACTCTCTCCGTTTCAGATTAAATATCATTCTAGAGTAAAATTTTCGTTTCAAAATAAGTGTCGTTTTACAATTTCAATGCAAAATTTATTGATTTTAAAAGTTATTCTATTTTTTCATTGGTTGAAAAATGGTTAGGTGTTTAGGTAATTGTGTTTTTTTTTATTGAAAATATGTAAAATTAATTGTTTTCTTAATCTATGTAGAATGACAACTAAATTGAAACAGATGTAGTATACATTTCTTAAATGTATGATATTTGTATAGCTCTGTACGGACAAACAGCACATATATGAGTGATGATTGGTTGAGATTTAATTTAGTACTATAGCTTTATTTTTTTTTATAAATACTAATCTTAATAAATCATGTGTATTATTTTAAAAATTAAAGTTTAGCTATATCATTTTCAGCATTATATTTCATGTGATTTAAAAGTTGTTGTATATTTCTACAATAAAATAACATATTGTTGCGATAATAAAAACTAGAAACTAAATTCTACTACAAATTTTCTACAATCCAACCAATATCCACATATGACTGAGTTTGTGTTAATCTCACACTGTTCTTCAAAAAGCATATTAGTTTCGTGCTACCGCTACTTGCCTAACACTTTTTTCGTTCATATGTGTAATTAATATATTAAGATACTAGATAGGATAGTTGTCAAAAAAAAAAAAAACTAGATAGGGTACTCATATTTTATATATAAAATTAGGGCCGGACGGTCTACGCCTGGGCTTTTTATTGCAATTTTAATTATATATGTTATGTTATTTTGATATATAAATATTATAATCTATTATAAAATATAAGTAGTTAGACAATTCTATAATAATTTTTAATTATTTATTGTATTTTATATTTCAAATTTCAAAAATTTTAATATCAGATTTTGTATATCATAGATTATCAATATGTATTTTGTATAGAACTGTTATGTATTGTGACTCGTTTCGACTTTTATTTCTATTTGTTATTTTTAATATTTTTTTGTAAAATATTGTTTGGTTGTTTATTACTCATTGTTTACTGTTGGAATCTTTTTTTGATAATTATTCTAAATTTGATCTTATTTACCTAAAATGAAAAGAAAATTTAGTGTGTGAATCTTTTTTTCTTTAGGTTTGATGAAACGTAAAGGAAAACAATATAATTATAATTTTTTCGTCTTTCCAAACTTATAAACTTCTTTATTTATTTTGAATATGTTTAAGTATTATGTAACTTTTACTGAACTATTAAATATTTCTTAAACTTTTCATTAAACGGAGGAAAAAAATTTTCATTAAACTCAAGTATATTACATAGATAATTAAATTTTAATTAGTTTATTTTTATCTCTTATTAGTTCTTGGTTTTTAAATTATTTTCATTATGTATTAATTATTAATTATTTTTCTATCATTTTGTATTCTAGTTTAACCTTAAATTTGGTATTAAAAAGGAAACCAAAAATCTGTGAGATTCAGTATTTTTATTTTCGTTGATCTAATGAAATGTATAAAAATTAATAGCGTAAATTTATTTATCCTCTTTCTCATGATTTTTATTTATTATAATTATAAATTTATTTGTTTTAATTATATTATATGTTTTCACTAAATTATAATTTTGTTATTTTAATTATAATAATTTACTAATTATAATTATAAATTTATTTGTTTTAATTATATTATATATTTTCACTAAAATGATTATTTTTTACCAAAAAGATTAATGTCAATTGTTTTGGTTTATTAAAAATAAAATATTAATTTTAATAATTTATAAGTTATTAAATTGTTTGAAAGTCTTGGTGGTTGTATTTAGGGTTCACTTCATGTTTGTTTGTGACATGATATACAGATCAGTGTGATATAGTTGTGTATTTTTGCAAGTTGTATTCTCAAGCCCATGGTATTATGTGCGAATTTTTCTCCAACTTATTCTTAAAAACTATCAATCAAGTGGAATGATGTTATTCTCATTTATTTTTATTACAGTTTCAAAAGAGATAAACGCACACTTATCATTGTGCTAGATATAGTGAACATAGTAATATTTTCTCAGTTTCTTTCTATTTCCACTTTATTTTTCTGATTCTATTTGATCGGAAAAAACTGTGAAATCTTAGCGGCCACTGAAATGGTGTTATGAGGTGAAAGATTTTGAGGCACAATGGTATTAAGCTAATGACATATTATTTTTTCAGGTTATACGCTTGATATTCAGATTTATTTTGTCTTTATCTTGTGTGTATTCGTTTCAAGATAATTGATTGTTATTTAGTGTTTACTTTGTCTATAATAAAATGAATGACAGCATGTTCATTTAAACATTTCACCATTTTAATAAAAATTTGATGTCCATTTATATTTTGGACATTTTTATTTTTATCTACTGTCAAACATATTTTGCAATATTATATTATTTTTAGTATTATAATATTGTATGTTTCTTGTTTGTTTTTCATAAAAGCACATAGTTATTTTTATGTGTCCGATCATTTTTAACAACAACATACAATATAACTTCTGTGGGAATCTTTGTATTTGTTTGATGTGCTTATTTTTTTGATTTTGTATTTTGATTTTTTTCATGTATATTTAATGCATATTAATTTCTAATGTGCTACTATTAAAAATCTAGTGATACACACACATAAAAATATATATTCAAATTTAGTGAGTATATGATTTTTTCTTAATTTTATTGAAAAAGAATAAACATTAAATTTTACTATATATATTTTTATATTATTATATAAGTAATTTCTAACATTTCTCAATGTTGATAAAATAAAATATTTAAGAATATAAATTATGGATTATTTTCAGTCAATATATGTGGGAATCTTTGTATTTGTTTAATGAGTTTATTTCTTTTGATTTAGTTTTTATTATTATTTTTTCCTGTATATTTAATGCATATTAATTTCTAATGTGTTACTATTAAAAATCTAGTCATACACACACATAAAATATATATAAATATATATATATATATATTAAATTTAGTGAGTATCTGATTTTCTTTAATTTATTGAAAATAAGAATAACATTAAATTTCACTATTTATATTTTGTTATTTTATTAATAACATTAAATTTCACTATTTATATTTTTGTTATTTTATCATATAAATAATTTATAACATTTGCTAACTTTTATAAAATAAAATATCTAAGAATATAAATTATGGGTTATTTTCACCCTTATACATTTTTTGAATTCATGGATACTATGATTTTTTAATATATATATATTTTGTATCTCAAAAATAAAAAGATTCATACTTCCTAAAAAGAATTGATAAATACATTCATATAAAGTAAACATTTGTTAATATTAAACATTGATTTTTTTTGTAATAATAAGTTTGTATGCCATATGTCATTTTCTTTTCATCTTATTTAGTGATATGTCATCATCATAAAAGAAAAAACTTAACTTTATATAATAAGATATAACAGGGTAAACATTTTCTTTTTGGTATGAATGTGAAGAGAAACAATTTCTTGATTTCGAGCACAACATAAAATTTTCACATAATAATGAATTGTTCTTCATAAGAAATACAAGCAGATTCATATAATAATCTTTATTAATATAAATCGAGATGGATCGGTCCTTAAAACCCACAGCGTGAAACCTTTAAAGAAATCAGAAAATGGTGTTAAAAAAAATTCAGAATTCAGAAGGGGCAAGAATATCGTTCTTCTACTATATATGAACTAGATAATAATTTGTACCTTACGCTGAATGTGATTATTAATTTTGTTATTTTTAATAATAAGACAATAAATATGTTTAATCTGTAGATCGGTTTGGTATTATGTTGTTTTCTAATTTTACTCTCTTAAAATATAATTATCCTTGTAAATTAATATTTATTTAGTTTTCGGTTAAAATATTTGTTGTTGTTTTTTTTCGATGATGACCAAAAACTATTATTATTTGTTTGGTTTCATGTTATATAAATTTTAGATAGTCTTAATATCAAACCATTAAATTCATATTATAGTTTATAAACGGATAATAGTTAAAAAATAAGAAAAAGAAAAAGATATTATTAATATAAATGATTTCGTTACTATCTGGTCCATAGTGAAAGAAACATTAGACAAAAAAAAAAAGAATATTTCAACTTCTTAGAGAATTTGACATTCCACTTGTGGTGAATATCTAAACTATTAAAAGGAAAATACAAAAATAGTTTTTTTCTCAAAAATTACAGTAGAATACCACTGCAATTAAAGTACATTAGTTTCGCTCTTATATGGATTTCGCTATAAGTTTAAGGTCCACAAATTTTAAATCAAAACCGAATTTCCAAAAATCAAATTGCACAATTTAGTTTAAAAATAGCATTTGTTAATAAATTGCTAAAAATCTTGTTTTGTGCGAATCTTTTTTAATTGTTGCTGTCTAAAAAATTTATTTACTTAAAAATATCTATAAAATATAATTTTAAATTATAATTTGAATCAAAAATTTATAGTATAATTTAATAAAACACACACAATTTAAATAAGATACTCTAATATTTTACACTTAATTGTTTAGTTTACCAAGTAAAAAAAATACAATATAAAAAAATACAATTTGATAGTTAGAAAAAAAACACTAAATAAAATGAAGAAGATACACCGACATCATAACTCAATAACCTATGAAAAAAAATTATGATGTTTTTTTATAACTAATACAAATATATATTTATACAGAACATACATCCGCGCGGACGTGCAAATCAAAAACTAGTTTAGTTATATATGTGATCACGTCAATGTGCACATGTGTGTGTATGTAAAAATATATAAATGTGGTTAATAAATATACCAAGATATTGTTAGTTAATATTAAAAGACATTTAATTCAAAATAACACATGAAAGATAAAATTCTTAAAATAAAATTAATTAAAAATAAAATAGACCTAGACATTATATTAGTAAACTGTTTTCATATAAAGAAAATCAAATTGTATCTGTATATAAAAAAAAAATATATATATATATATAACTGGACTTGGTGCATTTATCTTTCATGTGTTATATATATATAATTGGACTTGGTGCATTTTATTTTTTTGGTGTATTGTGTTGTATCTTGACCCAATCAGCTCTTACCATTAATCATTTATGTCAACAAATATTTTACAGTTAGACCTGCTAAAAAAGAAAATGCCTAAGATTCTAAAACATGTATATGCATTCATAACAAAAAAAAAGATAGTAATGTACTTACCATCAACAACCAACGATTGGAAGTGGTTTACGATTTTGTTTGCAAAATTTGATCTCTTCACTCGATCCTTTCAAATCCATCACTAAAAGTTCTTTATATTTTTCTATATTACTTCACTCCATCTTTCCTTCGCGAAATTATATGTGAATTTAGTATTATAAAAAACACTGAAATATATTGTATAAACAAGTTTGAAAAGTTTATGAAGGAGAAGACATGTTAATTAGTTTCTTGTAGATTGTCTTTCTATGTAGAATAACCCGTGAAAATATGCATGTGATTTTTATGTTGAAAAATAAAAACGTAAAATACATAGTATGTGATAACACATTTATGTATAGTTTGGGTGAGAAATTCTCTGCATTTGATACATTAACGTTTTCATCATCAAATCTCTATGAGACTATCACTTGTTAATTATAATGTGACCACATTTATTACAATGTTTCATTTTTAATATATAAGAAATGCCCTTCTTCGAAAGCTTTCCAACTCTTAGTCCAGCTAATCAACTCTTTATCTATGTACTTAATTAACATTCTTGATAACAATTTACTATCAATTAATAAGCAGAACATTAACTAGTTTTGCTTGTTGACCTAACAAGTTTTGGTTATTGACCTAACATCTGCCTTTAAGTCATTGCATGTTAATACTATAATTCATGAGTACGTAATCACATCCCATGCACGGCTGTCTTTTATCATGTGCAGTTAAAGAATGCGTGAATTTTCTTGATAATATGTATATGTCAGGAATCACAAATGAAATGAGATCTATAAAATTTGGTTTTAAATTACCAAATTATTCTATCTCTGGATATTTATAAAATTTAACAAAATATCCGAATTAAAAACACATGTTATTCAATCCCATCTAAAGTTGATCCAGCCAATAGGATTTCGAATGGATCATATTGTGAGATATTGTCAGCAAAAATGGCTAGAACAGTCATCTAATCCACTAACTATTAATTTACTTGAGGTCATTAAACTTAATCTTTTGATATTTTAAAATATGTATATTAAACATATATAACCAGCTAGCTACTTTAAAAAGATTTGTTAACACATCAAACATACTTTTTTTTTTGTAAGATATATCACACATATTTTTGGGAAACAAATCGAGCATACAAATATTTCAAGACTGAATCCTCAATAATCATTTCACACCATGTCTAGACATGCACAGTACAACTTGTATTTTCTTTAATAATTTGTTAAATAGTTTTGTAAATCAAAATAATTAGGAAGATTCGATCTGTACTTTGAGATCTTTTTCGATCGCTGGTAGCAACATGCCCTCTCTAATTCTCTATGTTTATCGAGGATTATTACATCAGACGCTATTATATTGACTCCACTTAATGTTGTATATTCGATTTAGTGCATGATTTTCGTTTTATAAAAAAATACTTATTTTTAATGTAGCCACCGTTATTCTTTTTCATTTGGCAGCTACAGCCCGTAGCCCGTATATTCTTACTTTGTAGTCTGTATATGTATATATATATATATCGTAATTCGTACAACACAAAGATAGAACGGTGGTCCATACCGTAAACGGGAAACATGTCGCTAACGATATAATATATGAACTAAAATGAGCACTGTACATGCAACGGCCCAACAACTGGAATAAGTGGAATGAAAAAGCTTCCTTGCTAGAAACTATAGTGTACGAGTCTTCCTTTCTAAATAATTTCATATATATATATATATATATATACTGTATATATATATATATATTATACAAAAGTTATGTGAACACAACTTCATTTTATGAGCAGTCAACTGATATATATATTTTGCATGCAAATTTACAGATTGGTCCAGTCAATATCGCACGTGCATGGTATGCAATAAACTTAAATCAATCTTCTATAATAACCCGAATTCACATAACTTAAGCACTATATATATATCAATTATCAAAACTCCAAAAATATAGGAAAAAATATCAAAATTCGAAGGATAGAAAAAGATATGAAAGAAACACAAAAGCCAAAGATAATATTCATCCCTTACCCGGCGCAAGGCCATGTCACCCCGATGCTCCAGCTCGCATCGGCCTTCCTCAGGCGTGGCTTCTCCCCTGTGGTTATGACTCCTGAGTCTATCCACCGTCGGATCTCGACGACTAACGATGATCTTGGAATCACGTTCCTAGCCTTATCGGACGGTCAAGAACGTCCGGACGCACCTCCCTCGGACTTCTTTTCAATAGAGAAGTCGATGGAGAACATCATGCCGTCTCAACTCGAACGGATCCTACTAGAAGAGGACGTGGACGTGGCTTGTGTTGTGGTTGATTTATTGGCTTCGTGGGCTATAAGAGTTGCTGATGGGTGTGGTGTCCCGGTCGCCGGATTCTGGCCGGTAATGTTCGCTGCTTACCGTATGATCGAAGCCATACCGGAACTCGTACGGACAGGCATAGTTTCCCGAAAAGGTAATTTGAATTAGCTTTCTTTTTTTAATACAAATCTCCAAAATAGCACATTTCTAAGTTTATGTCACAAAAATAGTCTTCAACAACTAAAATGACCAAAATAACATTTTATCTTCTGAAAATTTTAAAATTTTAAAAAATTTTTATTTTTCAAAAATTGAAATCTTATCTCCAAAACCACACTCCCCAATTCTAAACCCTAAAACCTAAATTCTAAACCCTAAACCCTAAACTCTAAACCCTAAACTCTAAACTCTAAACCCTAAATTCTACTCCTTAACCCTAAACTCTAATGTCTAAATTAATTTATCTTTGAGATATGTGTATATATTTATCTCTTTTGATAAAACATTAAGTGTTATTTTGATCATTTTTATTCTTAACTGCTATATTTGTGACAAAAAAAAGTTTAGTATTATTTTATTTATTTTCTCTTTTCTTAATACAACAGCTAACTCACATGTGTTCGTAGTTCCTTTTTGAGACAAATATGCAAAAGAATTATATATACACATATATATACTTTTATTTTTCCTTCACATAAAATAATATATAACCTTGATAACCATATACTAATCCCAGGAACATTATCGAATTTGAACCCTGTTACAACCACACGGAATTAGTACAAAACATTAATATCCGGTCTAATATAATTTGTATTCCCACGTCCGTATAAAATAGAACACCTAATATAGAATATGCATGGTTTATATGGGACCATATGGTACACTAAACCAAATTTAATTATAAATTCGCTATAAAAGAATGATATCATGGTCATTGATCGTCCAATATTGTTGACGTTCTATATAGGTTTGCTTATTCCCTAAAAACGCAATCATTGATGCGATAGAAAAAAATAAAACCAACAAAATCAAGTGAAAGTCTTACGAAATTATTTATATATTAGTATTATTATTACATCATAAATGATATTCACATGAGATCTAGCGCCTAAGACGCATCGTTGTCGAATAATAACTTCCATCTGCATAAGTGCATACAGTGGCGGAGACATGTGGTGGGGCGGGGTCAGACCCCTATGACTTTTACAAATAAATGAATTAGCTTATGTAAGTTTTATTTTTGCTGGAACATCGGTTAAAATCCTTTAGCTTGATCCCCATGTCACAGATTCTAACATTTCCTTTGATCCATCTTAATATTTTCTCAGTAATATTACATAATTGTTTTAATAAATGTCTCTTATGAGAGATGATCCTGGCTCCGCCATTGAGTGCATATATAAGGATTCAGGAGCCACATAGCTTGTAGAATACGTAGGCATGTTCCAATGACAAGGAACATACACAAACACAACTTGAAATATAATTGCGTTTAAGTAATAGCACATGTTGTAACTTGCCATATGTACGTTCCAATTAATGAAGAATGTACGAATCGCATAAACAATATAATACCCAAATAAAGCCTATCAAATTAAACTACTAATTCCGCAAACAAATCAACCGCGTAAATCATGTATATAGTTTTTTCTATTTTCGTATAAATAAAGTATGTATAGTTGATATAATATAATATGAGAATATGATAATAAAGTATGTATAGTTGATATAATATAATATGAGAATAGCATATTCTCATATAGAGAATATCAGCTTCCAAATGTTTTGCACTGAATATCCCACCAAGAGGACCAATCAATTCATGTTTTCTTGTGGCATTGCCATGTTGAACTCAAAATATTTATATTATAATATAACGTGTTTTAGTCTCAAAATATACATTTTAAGAAGTTACTGGCATTCTCACTGCTAAATATGCTATACATATTTTAATAAATAATGTAAAAAGAAGGAGATAAAATATTTATTCTTGATTCATGTTTATCGATATATAATCTAACTTTTAGTTAAATACTAAAACTTAACTAAATAATTTAATTATAAGAAAATATTCGTATAATTTAATTTGTAACTTTTTTTTGAAAACTCCACCAGTATATACATGTTCTGAATTAGAAAGTTGAGATTAATTAAGATCGTAGAGAACATAGTCTATAATTTAAGTTGAATTATAGATATTGTTCTCACCGACTATAAAATTAAGGTTACCAACAACAATCTAGTAGTACGAGTTAACTGCTAATGTTTAGGTGGTTCCTCGAAGCTTCCGTCGATCTCTTTTAATCTAGGTTAGTCAATAGCAAATAAATAATAACTGTAATAACGTACATTACATATTTTATATGTATGTAACTTCATATATAAATACAATTTCTTAATTATTTGATTATTAGTGTATATTGAACACGCCAGACCATTTGTTCTTGGTTACTAAAAGATGTATATTAATTTACATTTGTAACTTTTTATGCCGCAGGGTTTCCTCGTCAACCAAAAAAACCATTACTTCTACCGGAACAACCTCTCTTATCAGCCGGAGACCTATTGTGGCTGATCGGAAACCCGACAGCTCAAAAAGGACGATTCAAGTTCTGGCAAAGAACCCTAGAACGAGCAAAAAGTCTCCGGTGGATCTTAGTAAACTCCTTCAAAGACGAATATGAAAGTGAAATCATTAATCAAGAAAGTAACGGTCGAAACCCTCAAATCCTTTACGTTGGTCCATTACATAACCAAGCAGCAACAAGTGTTACAACTTTAACCAAAAGTCCTACTTTCTGGGAAGAAGACAGATCTTGTCTTGCTTGGCTCCAAGAACAGAAGCCAGACTCAGTCATCTATATCTCATTTGGAAGTTGGGTTTCTCCAATTGGAGAATCAAAGATTCGTACATTAGCATCGGCGTTGGAAGCGTCAGGAAGACCTTTTCTTTGGGCCCTAAACCGGGCTTGGCAGGACGGACTGCCACCAGAGTTTGTGCATAGAGTCACCATAGAGAAGAACCAAGGAAGGATTGTGCCATGGGCGCCACAGACCGAAGTTCTTAAAAATGACTCAGTGGGTTGTTTCGTGACTCACTGTGGCTGGAATTCAACCATGGAGGTAAATATATAAGAAAACCCACCATATACTACATATATAGTTATCTCCGAGACATATATGTTTTATAGACATATACTATATTATATATATAGTTATCTCTGAGACATTGTGTTTCAATATAGGCATATACCACGTTACATATAGTTATCTCTCTGAATTCGACATTAATGATTAATGCGTATTATTTCTTACATTGTGTTTTTTCATTGCGCATCATTGCTTGAATAGGCGGTAGCAAGTTATCGGAGGCTGGTGTGTTATCCAGTAGCGGGAGACCAGTTTGTGAACTGTAAATACATTGTGGATGTGTGGAAGATCGGGGTGAGAATGAATGGTTTCGAAGAGAAGGAGGTTGAAGATGGGTTAAGGAAAGTGATGGAGGATGAAGAGATAGGAGGGAGATTGAAGAAGTTGAGAGATAAAGCAATGGGGAATGAAGCTCGTTTGTGTTCGGATAAAAATTTCACTTTCTTTAAGGATGAGATTTACAATTCAGTATTTAACTAGATTTTTAATCTACACTTTGCAAGTACGGGTTGCAAGCGTGAGAATATTTTATGATGAAAAATTTCACTAATAATTACATATATTTTGTTAATTTGAAAAATTGTGTATTAAAATATTTTTGCATTTAAATCAGTGTTTTTAATTTCGACATGAATCTGCAGTTTAACTAGTTAATCCAATTATCCGATAATTCAATTTTGATTTTTAAATATATCCATTTTTAAAAAATCACTAAACACCAAAACTAACCGATTGCAATGATGGATAACCGATATATAATATTTAAACCTGTAAAATTAAGTTTTAATTGTTTTTTTGTTATTTTATAAATTATCTGAATTTTATAAATGATTTAACTTATCTAACTAATTTGAAAGAAAATTGTTAGAAATTATTTAAAAGATGAGAGCTAATATTTTGTATTGTTTGGATAAAAGATAAATTATAGTGTTGTTTGAAAATCTTATATATAATAATACACTTTCAAAGCTTCTTAAGGTGTCCACGTCAGCATTTTATGGGTCCCGCGCGTTTAATTTTTTAAAAGTCTACAGCTTTTAAAATGACTATGAACAATGAATACACTTTAGCCTAATAGTATAAAACATCTAATTAAGTCTACAAGCTTGTGGGTTCAAACACGCAGCTGTTATGTATTTTAGTTTTTTCGTTTGAGTTATTATCATATGGACTTTTTGGTTTTAATGTTTTTAATGTTTTATGTTTTTTTTTTCCTCTGGGCTTATTGTTTAAAACCCAAAATAGTGGAAAAATCCTAAAATTAAATTTTAACTTTAACTTTTTATGTTCCATTATGTATGATTTTCGTTCATACAAAGATTTGGTTTGTCATTAATCATGATATGCTTAGTGTTCTCAATATAGTTCAATGACAAATCTTATATGGTTGATAGACGAGTTTCACAATATTATTTTGAAGGAGAACAATATGGTTTGTAGAAGCTAAATACATAAATTTAATAAAATGATTGAAAATATAGTGAGTTTAATTGAGTATAAATTAGTATTTTTAGAACCGATAACCCGATTAGTATCTGAAACCGGAACTATTTTGAGTTCAACCGGATCTTGGACATTTTACGAAATCCGAACCGAGTCCGACCAAACCCGAACCAAATCTGACCCGAATTTTTATAATATCTGAATGGGGCTGAAACTCATAAACCCGAAAACTGAATGAACCCGAACCGAAATCCGATTGGGACCCCGATTGCCCAGCCCTAGGAAATATGTTCTAATAGAAAATATATATTAGGACATGATAGTTCCGCGTGGGACTCGTTTTGTTTTTTTTTTCTAAACGTAAGAAGTAATATTTAAACTTTAAAAACAACATTATTTAAACTTCAAAACAAATTTATTCGTAAGTTAACTTCAAATGTAATCTTAATCATAAACATTAGTAACAGCCAAATAACACTATATATTAGACTAAATATTTGAGTTAATTATTCATATCATAACTTATTATTGTAGGTCCTCAATAATATATTAATGTATTTTGGAAACATATTAGAAATTTAGATTGGGTATGATATAAGTTTTTTTGGAATTTTAAAGTTTCGGGTTCTTTCGGATATCCATTTAAGTTCGGGTTCGGTTCGGGTAAAATCCATAACCAGAAATACTGTAAAAAAAGATCCATTCGGTACTGTTGTCGGATTCGGATCGGTCCGGATTCTTTTTTATCGGGTCGGGTTCGGTTCGGATTTTCGGGTTTCGTTTTTTTTTCCCGGCCCTAATATATCCTAATAGATTTTTTTTTAGCACCATATCCTAATAGATATTTTCAAAAAAATATGTATGTGAAATGAAATACAAAACAACAAAATTTAAGTATTTTCGTTATTTATAAAATGGATATGTAATTTCTCTTACATTTTTAATAGTTACTATAATTTCATTTTTATCAGACTCCGGCGATTGGATTCCCACAGTCGATGACGCCGTAAATAAAAATGCCACATTATTTATGAACAAAATCCAAACTTACAAAAAATCATATACAAACCTATCTAATGAAACCCAAACAACATATATTAGCTTCAATTAAAATTATTTTCAAATTGATAAATCGTTTAGTACAAATATAAATACTATAAATAAATAATTATATGAAGTTTTGATCTCCGATATAAAAACTATTTACAGCATGAAAAATAAAAAAATAAGATAGACACTATTTTTACACACTAAAAACTGTATTATAGTTTAATTATTCCTATAAACCTTACTTCGCATATAAATAACATTTAACATATTATATATACAATATTTTCGCTTTACACTCTTCTACATTTTTCCATTTTATCATTATTTGGTATTAGAAGAACGCATTAAACAACAAAAAAAAACATAGACAAACATCAATGATCCCGGCACCGCGCTTGCGCGGAGGGTATACAACTAGTATTGATAATAATATAAAAAATGAATATATTGTTTAGAAACGTGAGTAATAGTATAAATAAAGAAATATTAATAATTTAATGTAGGCTTAACTATAAAGTAGGAATGTGTATTTAATTTTAAAATTTACAAAATAAATGTTTAATACAACTTAATGTTTTTGTTTTAATAACATATATTTTAACCTAATGTTTTTTTTTTCCGTAAAGACAATAAAATAATTGAATGATGGTAGAAATACGTATTATGTTTGTTTTTTTGTAAGAATGTTAAGCAAAAAGACGGTAGAAATACGTACGGATGTGCAAAAAATTAAAATCTGTTAAGAGACAAATTAGATTAGAGAACATAATTAAAATAGTGTATCAAGATTTACGCCATCTAACAGGAACATGTTTTCACTTCATTTTTTCAAATAAATTTTTCCAAATCAATATAAAAAAAAAAAATTCTTCACATAAATGAAGAGGAAAAATGAAAAAAAATAAAGCAAAAAGTTACTTTTATTTTTAATATCAAATAATCTTAAGTTGATTTAATTTAATTTAATTTACATATATGTTTTATAAAAATATTTTAAAAGTCTTATTATCTTATATTCACCAATTACTCTAAAATTTTCTCAAAAACATATTTAATTCTCAATTTGTTAATTTATTTATTTATAATTTTCTCTTCATATATTAATTTTATTATTGACTTTCAAACGTACATATACAAAAAATTTAAATTTAAAGATGGATATCATATATTATATCATTTTTTGTAATGTGCAATTTACAAAAAATAATTCATTGAACTAATAATTTATTCACCAACTTTTTAATAATTGTATTTATTTATAATGAGATAATATTGGTTTACATTAATTTCTAAATTTGTATCTACGAAATAGATCAGATATCTAACTAAAATATACTCGGTGAAGGAATATTTTGTAAAGTAAATAATTATCGAGAAAGAAATAAGACCGCCGCCGTCTCCGTTGTCTTAGCTCCGGTGGTTGGTGGTTCTCACCGCCGCCGGAAGCGCCCCTGTTTCGTCTCGTTTTAGAGTTTTTCGTTTTCAATCGCGGGATCTCTTCATCTCTATATGGTTTCAGAGCTGAACTTAGGCAGAGCATAGGAAGATCTCTGGAACGGGATCTTGCTTGCCTTTGCGAGGATGGAGATTCGAAAGGTCTATGGCTGGTCGGCTGTGATATGGTGGCCGTGGGCTATTCTTTCAGATCCCGAGCCGGTGTTTGTTGGGTGTTTTTGTACGCTCTATTTCTCTCTTGTTTCTTACTATTCTGAGATGTTTAGTTTCTGTCGATGGGTTGGTCTTTAGTATAAGTGTGAGTGAGGCTTAGCTGTGGTTGTGGCCTGGCGTTTTGCTTGGGTTGGGGTGTGCTTCCTTTGTTCATTGGAATCAAATCCGGTGTTTGATGATCTTTGATGGTCAGAGCATTTTGCGGGCTCAATTTTAATTTAGAGAGGAAGAAAGAAGATGGATGTTTAGCGGAGCTTATGCTTCCTTGCTGGTTGATTGCCGCCATTTGGATAGTATTAGGTCTGGATTTGGAGTGGTTTTTATCTTGTTACCGGCTGTGTGAATAAGACGGGTCCGGAAAGCTTTCATAGGCTTTGCCGTGAGGTGTTGGTGCGTATGAGAAGTGTGGTGAGTCCTCTCAAGGTCCAATGGCAAGTTTCAGTTGGGATTGAAAGGTGTTTACAGCAATGGTTAAAGATTTTAACCCTTCTTAATTCAGTTTATGCGTTGGTGATGTTCGTCGTGTGCTTCTATTCTACCTCACTGATCTTCTCAATGTGTTGTAATTGGTGATGAGTTCTCGCTAGGTAAGTTTTCCTTTGAATGTAAGAGTTAGCTCTCCCCTCCTAAAGTTGTACTACTTTATCTTTTGACTCTTTTCCTTGTCTGTGTTAGTTTAAGGAATTTGTGTAAGGTTCTTCTTTTGTCTCCGGGGGATACATAGTATCTCGCTGGCTCTTGACTCCGGGTGGTACTTGTTACCATGCTGGCTATGTGTGTAAACTGATGCTTGATTCAATCTTAATCTACCAGATGACCAAAAAAAAATCTAACTAAAATATACTCCTATTTTGTCGAACACCAAATTTTCCAAATATTAATTAGTGTGGTTGGTTAACAAGTAACTGAAAAGTCAACGAAGAATAAAATAAAAAAAGTTTGACGTTTTCTTTGACCGCCAAAGAAGACGAAAACGAGTCTTTTGACAAAATCACGAAAAATAAAAGAAAAAAACGAATCCTTTTCGTTTCTTCTGCACAGAATCTTCATTTTAGCTTCTTCCTCTGCTTCTCTCTCTCTTCTTCCACGATTAATCTTCTCTCTTGCTTTGTGTGATCGATTTTGGTGAAATTGAGCTGAGTGTATCTGTCCGCATAGGTCTCTCTTTTTGGTAACTATCTAAATTTTCGTTCGCTGTTCAATCAACATCGGATCAATTTTAGGGCTTTCAGTCAAGATCGCTGCTTTGGTGTTAGTTTGAATTTGGGTAACTGAATAAATGCGATCTTTGGTTCTAGTTTATCTAATTACGTGTGATTGAATGAGAAAGTATCATCCTTTATTATGAACTGTAAACGTTTAAGTTTGAATCTTAACAGTAGCAACATTTAGGATTCGGATTTGTGTTGGTGGATTTAGGGTTTTAGATCCGTAACAAAGCTTTATGAGCTCTTAAAGCTAATGTTTTTGTTACACTACTCAAGCAAGTTGATGATTGATATATACTCTCTCTGTCTTACTTCCTAGGTTGTTTGTATCTTTAGTATAGAATCCAAACATCATGGATGGTGAACACAATAGGAATCCATTTGCAAGTGCAAGTGCAAGTGGAAGTGGAAGAGCAGGGGGAAGTACAAGTGCGAGTTCCAACTCCAGTTTTAGTAGCAGTGTGGCGGATACAGATGATGATCAAACCATTGCACGTATATTAGCTGAAGATGAGAGCTTAAAAAGACATGGCATGCTTGGGAAGAGACTCTCTCATCTAGATTCCATCCCTGTATGATACAGTTTTTTTCTATCCACTAATACTTCATATATAAACTTGAATGTGTTGGTGAGCTATTCGTAGTTTGTGTTAGTGTCATCTTCTTTGAATGTCTTACTCCTTACGCAAGAGTAACATTGGCTTTGTATTTGGCAGCACACTCCTCGGGTCAACACTAAAATACCTGATATAAATGATGCAACATTAGACCATAATCTGCTCTCTGTGAGGTTCTTATTCTTCTTATCAAAATTTGCTTTTATATGTCTTTTTCCTTTCATAACTTCATTTGATTGATTAACCATCTCTCCTTTTTCTTCAGGTTGGTCACATATGGGTTAGCTGAATTACAGATGGAGGGGGATGGAAATTGCCAGGTAAGCCGGAAGGAACATCAGTATAGAACTTGTTTGGACTCTTCAAAAGAATATTCATCATATGTTGTACTTGTTTGCCAGTTCCGAGCTCTGGCAGACCAGCTTTTCGGCAATCCAGATTACCATAAGCATGTAAGGAAGCATATTGTAAAGCAGGTACTGTCTGAGAACCATAGTGCATCAAACTTGTTGAACTCTTCGATATTTGGTTTCTCTCAAACCTGCTTGTTGGCCACGTACTTAGCCTGTGACTTTTTTTACAGTTGAAACAGCAACGAAAGCTATACGAAGGATATGTCCCAATGAAATACAGACACTACACCAGGAAAATGAAAAAGTAAGTCATCTTTGTTTTTTTTTTTGCTTTTTGTTTCTTTATCAACGAGGGATTATACTATACTCTGATTCATTCTTCTTTGCCAATTGGATGCAACTAGACCGGGTGAATGGGGAGATCATGTTACTCTTCAAGCTGCTGCAGATCGTGTAAGTTTTTCTTTGATAAAGATATATCATGTTTTGAGTTTACTACAAGACTACAGGCACTTTGATAAATACTTGCCAGACATTGTGTCTTCTCTTGAGCAACCGCTCTCAAATTTCACATTCTTTTTTTTACTTGAAATGACTGACTCAGCATTACTGTAGTTCGAAGCCAAGATCTGCTTAGTCACATCCTTTCGGGAACAATCCTACATTGAGATACTTCCTCATAACAAAAACCCTCTTCGAGGTACAAACTCTATCTATCTGCCTTGAAGCTCTCTCAGCAACTTTACTCGGTCCTTAAATGAATCCTTTTTACTTTTCTGCAGAGGCTTGGCTTAGCTTCTGGAGCGAAGTTCATTACAATTCTCTATACCCTAGTGGAGGTAAAAAAAAAACACACTCTTTTCCATAAACTCTGCTTTTTAAAAGTCATTTATCATCATCACTAGCTATCTCTATACCTTCTCTGAATCTCAATCTCCTAATTTTCTGAACTAATTGTTCTTGGTTTTGCAGATGTTCCCACGAGAAAACCCAGGAGGAAGCATTGGCTCTTCTAGGATTGGTGATCCAGATTCGTATAATCCATACATGTATGTGTTTAAACTTTGTACTTACCCTCACTCTATGTTGTTACATGTCTTTATCATTGGTTCCCTCTCAACACTTCCATTGTAAAAGAGCAAGTAAAGTTAGGTATGTTATTTGTTTTAATTAATCTTGACATACTTGTTACCTAAGTAAACTTGAAAATTATTGAATCATAACGAAAGAGGACTAAGTAACAGCAAATAGATTAAAGAAGGGGGGACCAATACCATGATGAGATCAATTTGAACGGACCTGATGAAGTACATTCACATGGAGTCATGGACCAAATAACGTGTGATGTATATTAGTATATTCATTTTTTTTTTTATATTTGGTTTTTGAGTTTCAAACAAGTAATTAAAAGCAATGGCTCTTAGACCACAAGAATAAAAGAATCAATGGGATCGGACAGAAAGCATCATTTATAGAGAGAATCAAAGTGGTAAGTGCTCTCTATATAATGCAGTTTTGTGGTCCTTGATGAGAGGTTCTAGACTTGTAGTATCCTTTTTATTATTTGATTCCATCATTGTGCTCTCGTGTGTTGAAGTTAGATTTGTACCCTCTTGGTAAAACTTGAAGATTTAAATGTTAAACCTGAAAGAAAAAACCTATGAATGATGATGTAATAAATTGTTAAATCCGATTTTGAACAAGAAAGAAACCTTCAAAAAAATTTCCCAATTTAATGAAAATGTATACCAACTTCTTAATTATTTGAAAAATTAATATTTGCTAAAACTCAAGGTAAATATAGCCTTTTATTTGTATTCATCAATATACGGTAATCAATATTAAAAATCTTGAGATATATGTTTCTTAAACAGAAAATGATACTGATTACACACTTCTAAATTTTGTAAAATTCCAAGAAAACAATTAAGTGGTGTTATTCAATTATGTATTTTAATAGAATTTAAATCTAAACACAATCCGCTGTTACTAAAATGATGATTTTAAATTATGTTTTAAAATCTAGTGTTATTTAATGAATGATTTAAATCCGAATTTAGAATCTAGTGTTATTTAACTTACACAGATTTTAAAACTCTTTGTATTTTGAATTGATTTCAAATTATCCCTTATGGAGTCTCATGAACAAATAATTGAATTCAAAATCCAAAGCCTACTGCAGAGATTTTAAAATCTAGTGTTATGTATTTTTAACCATTTAATTTTTTTAATATGCATATAACTCATATAATAAGACTTTTATTAATTTTATCAAAATTAACAGAATTGGAGAAGTGAAATAAAAACAAAATAAAAGAGCCTCCCATCCCATTGCTTACTTCTTCTTCTTCTTCATTCTCTCTCGCGGAGAGAGAGATATTTTCATTGCAAAGTTCACTTGCGTGTGTGTCCCGTGGAGAATTAAAAAACCGTAGCCTAGCATTTGTCTTTCTTCTCAAAAAGCTCAATCTTTTGTCTTTCTTCCTTCTGTCGTCTCCTCTGTTTTCTAAAAGTTTCGTTTTTTATTTCTCTCGAAAATCCTCTAATCGTTGATCATGGAGAGATCTGATTCCAGAGATTTCTTCAACTTTGTTCGCTCTTCCTCAGGTTCTCTCGAAAGGATGTTTCTTTCTTCTCCTTTGTCATGTTAGCTGCTTAGCTGATTGTGTGGATCCGTTTTTGTTTATTGCAACACACAGAAAGAGAGGAACTTTATGCTAAAAAATATATGTAGTTGCGTTCTGTATGATTCTAGATTTCTAGGTCACTGAGCTTATGTCTTTTTCTTTAAAACTAATGTGTGTAGTTGTTGTTCTTATGCTCCAATTGCATGAATCATAGATACCATTTTTGATTAATATAATCTTGATTTTCTTTTTGTAATATTATTGTTATCATTTTGATTGAAAGTCTAGATTGTTTTGGTCGGCAGGGCAGAACTTTTGATAATGTGTCTGTAACATTGGTTGCTGTAATTGACTGTGTGTTTGTATCTGCAGATCAAAACAGTTCGCTCTTTGACGCATCTCAGTATGATTTCTTTGGGAAAAATCTTGACGAAATGTCACTGGGAGGTTTAGACGATGATGAAGTGACCGCTCCTGTTCTTGGAATTGCTCATGCTGATGCTGCTGATGATGAGTACCACTTGTTTGATAAAGGAGAGGTAAATGTGTTTTCTCTGTGTTGAGAAAAGCTACCATCTTAATGGTTGAAGATGTTTTATTACTAATGCATAACATGTTGATGATTCCAGGCTGCAGGTTTAGGATCATTATCTGACATGGATGATCTTGCCACAACTTTTGCAAAGGTTAGCACAAGTTTTTAGTTGTAAACACTACGATGGTGATCTTAGTATCATAACTTATAACTACACATACTTCTTGAATGTTTTGAACTGTTGTTAATGATTTTGAATCAGCATGTTCTCTTTTGTGTAGCTAAACAGAGTTGTTACCGGGCCTAAACACCCTGGAGTTATTGGTGACAGGGGATCAGGATCCTTTTCAAGAGAGAGTGAGTTTAATTCTTCACTTGTTTACTAACTTTAGGCTTCTTTATTAGCTTGTTATACTTTTTTTACTTTAGTTTTCTTTTCTTGCTCCCTTTGAACCAAAATCGTCAGCTGAGCTAGAATAATCGGTTGCTTTTTAACTCAGTATACTTATTAAATCCTTTTATGGTGTAAGGTTGGTTTCTAGAGATAAGTTTGTGAGTTGAAGAAACATTGTGATCATTTTCAGATGCTATGTTTGTCTGAAATATCAGATGACCTGTCTCGACGATTAACTTTTTTCTGATTGTACTTTTTTTAGGTTCTTGTACTACCGATTGGACACACGATACAGAGCTCACAAGCTGGTTAGACGAACAAGATCAAGAGGCTAATAGATGGTCCTCACAGCCACAGTCAGCTGCTCACTCAAAACCTTTGTACAGGACATCCTCCTATCCTCACCAGCCACCGCAGCTCCAACACTACAATAGTGAACCAATAATTGTACCGGAATCAACTTTCACTTCCTTTCCTCCACCTGGTAGCAGATCTCAGCAGACTTCACCTGGAAACCTCCATCGCGCTCCTTCTCTTCCTGGTGGTTCTCAGTTCAATTTCACTGCACCTTCCCCGCGGTCAAACTCTGGTTTTCATCATTCAGGACTGTCACAGGGCCCCCACTATGGTGGTAATTTGACTAGGTATGCCTCTTGCGGTCCCACGCTTGGTAACATGGTGCAACCTCATTGGGCCACTGATCCTGGTCTTCTGCACGGAGATCATTCTAGTTTATTACATAGTCTGGTGCAGCAACAGCACCAACAATTGCCTCCTCGGAATGATCTTATGTCGCAACATATGATGGCCCTCCAGCAGAGACAATCATATGCTCAACTAGCGGCGCTACAGTCCCAACTGTACAGTTCCTATCCTACACCATCACGTAAAGTCCCTTTCGGGGGTAGTGAGGTTAGGGAACACAAACACAAGTCGTCATCTCATAGAAGTCGAAAGAACAAAGGCATCGCCCAACAGGTATCAGATGCAGCTAGTCAGAAAAGTGAAAGTGGATTGCAGTTTAGATCAAAATACATGACTTCTGAAGAAATAGAGAGTATACTCAAGATGAAGCATTCTAATTCACACAGCAGTGATCCTTATGTCAATGACTATTACCACCAAGCTCGCCTTGCCAAGAAGTCTAGAGCAATCTCACACTTCTACCCTTCTCAGCTGAAGGATCACCAGCCTCGGTCCCGTAATAGCTCTGAACAGAATCAACAAGTTCATGTAGATGCTCATGGGAAGATCACACTTCCTTATATTCGCAAGCCACGTGCGTTGCTTGAGGTTGACTCTTCTCCTGGCTCTAATGAAGGAAGCGCAGGAAAACACTTGGAGCAGGAACCTCTTGTTGCAGCTAGGGTTACTATTGAAGATGCTCTTGGAGTTCTTATTGACATAGTTGACATTGACAGGCATCTTCAATCCACTAGGCCTCAGGACGGAGGTGCTCAGGTCAAGAGAAAGCGGCAGATTCTGCTAGAAGGATTAGCGACAGCACTCCAACTTGCTGATCCGTTCAGCAAAACCAATCAGACTGCTAAGGATGATGTTGTCTTTCTCCGTATAGCTACTCTTCCAAAGGGTAAGAAAATGCTTACAAAGTATGTACAACTTCTAGTTCCAGGCACCGAGATTGCTAGAGTTGTCTGCATGGCTATATTCCGCCACTTGAGGTTTCTCTTTGGCGGCTTGCCTTCAGATACTTTAGCAGCAGAGACGATTGTGAATCTTGCCAAAGCAGTCACGGTCTGTGTTCAAGCTATGGACCTCCGTGCACTGAGTGCTTGCCTTGCAGCTGTAGTGTGTTCCTCAGAGCAGCCACCTCTGCGTCCTATAGGAAGCTCTGCTGGGGATGGTGCTTCAGTTGTCTTGATATCTCTTCTCGAGAGAGCTGCTGAAATAGTGGTGGTTCCTCGAGTGGTCCATGATGGTCTATGGAGAGCCTCGTTTGATGAATTCTTCAACCTTCTTACCAAATACTGCAGGAGCAAGTATGAGACGATCCGGAGCCAGAACCAAGGGAGTGCAGCTGATGTTTTGGAACTGGCGATAAAGAGGGAAATGCCTGCTGAGCTTTTGCGAGCGAGCATCCGTCACACCAATGACGACCAGAGGAGCTATTTGTTAAACTTTGGCCGTAAACCGTCGGCTATTATTAGTGAGTCGGCGTCGCATGCAAGGGGTGGTCAGATCAACAGTGAATCTGTGAGGGGCTTACCAAAGAGAGATAGAGAAGTGATAACCAATGGGGCTTAGAGGATTACCAGGGAGTGGATCAAACAACCAGTCAAGGGGTGTGTGTGTGTGGAGTGTGGACTCAGGAGCCAAACTTGTAAGTAACCTGGTGCAGGTGTAGGAATCTTTTCACAAGGGTTTCAGTGCTTTTAGATTCTGCTCTTGTTCTTTCTTACTTTGAACTCTTTTCCTATTATAATGGTGGACAAATGCAGACTCTGCTTTATTATGTATTAATGATGAGTAGGTTGTCGGAAGAAGAAATGTCTTCTCCTAGGGGAGCCATATTATGATGCTCTTTATGTTGAAAACTCCATTGTTAGGGAACAAAATAGAGGGGTGTTTAAGAGTTTTGGAGGGATATTAATGTTTGTGTACAGAATGATGATGAACCCTTTAATGGAGAATAGTGAGATTAGAGCTGGAATGAGATTAGGCTTCAATTAGCAGGTTTAAGTTCTGGAAGCAGCTGGGAAAGTGAGTTCGAAGTTTGTTATCTGACATTTTTCTTTAGTCTGTAATAATAATCAGAACACACGCAAAAACCTCTTTTGAAAACTGTTGGATCTATTTCTTTCTTTACCTCTTGCGTCTCTCGTTAGTTGTTTCAAGATTTCATTCTCTGGGTTCTTCTCTCTTTTTTTTTGTGAAGGAGTTGAGACTACAACACTATATAAAGCTGGTTTAATCCTAGTAGATTCTTTGGTTTTACTAATGATTGTTTTTTTTTGATGACCATTACTAATGATTGTTTGGTATAGGCAAAATCTTGAAACTACACTTTTAGAATTTGATTTTGTTGTTTTTTAGTACAATACTTGCAGATTTTTCTGCAATGTTGAGTGACTTTGCGCCAATGGTGAGAGACGTGTAATCTACAACTCCACTATGCTAATGATATACTTTGTTCGCGGGAGCCACTATTTGGTGTAACCACCGAGTTTCATGTTTGCATTTTTCTTATTACTATTTTTTTTTTTTGTCAAAGTGTATGTGCATTTTCATATTATTAATGACAATTATATTTACTCGACATCAGCAAAGAAAGAAAAAGTAGAAGAGTAGAAACTATGTATGAGTTGTAACTACGATAACATATCAGCTACTTCAATTATTGTAATATGTATCTCTGTTTACATAGCATTGTTTTTGTGTTAAATTTTCGAATAAACGACCAATCTCATCATTCGTTACAGGAAAAGAATGTGAGACTTCAATTCATACATGAAATGTCATAAACAAAGAAACTAATACAAGTGATCCAAATTTATACAACTGCAATATATTTATTGAAACAAGCATAAAAAAAAATCCAAGTTCATCTTGTGGACTATATGAAAAAATGACAAAAGAGAAAAATACGAGCTCGAGAGAAGACTTGGGTTCAGAAATTATGCGAAGAGGAGGAAGACGTGGAGGTGTAAGTACAACTGTAAGGTGCAAAGTAATATTTGCTTCTTTTCTTTCTCTTCTCCAAGAATCTCTTCACAGATCTCTTCACTGAAAACCCTAAGGGCGATTCCAGACTCACCGGCGCTAACTCAACCTCCGTTAGTCCACGTTCCTTGCTTGCCATCTCTATTATTGCCCTTATCTTCGTATATTCGTTAACGTATTTATCAGCCATTCTTAAAGGGAAAAAAAAAAATCTGAGCAAATATATATACATAGAGAAAATAAAGATTCTACCTGTATCTCTACGAGATCGTACTCTTGTAGTTTCCCATCATAGAATGCATTGATCTTCTTAGTTTTTGTGGCTAAAGATTTAGTAACCCTATAGCAATTTTTCAAAACGAACTAAGAGTCTTTAGTTTTAAAGAGGGGTTGAGTATGAATATTAATTAAAAGATGATTAACGAGAAACGAGAGGTTGGATCTGAATAAGAAAAACTCACGTCGAATCTTGACAACAAGACCGAAGCGACGAGGTTACTGGAGATAGGCAAAGATCTAGGCCAGAATTTTTCATGATCCTCCTCTGCTTAAAGATTATTGGTTTGGTCCGTTTATGGAAGTTAAGATATAAATTTTTTGGCATATATATAAACTATAAATAAGAACGTGCAATGAACTTTCATTTTTTTTAGGGAAAAAAATAAATATCATCAAAATTTGTCACGTTCTTCATGTTTTCAATTAGAAGGAAAAAGTATCTTAAAAATCGGTAACTATACATACATCAATCGAAGTGTCTGAAGAAGTATCTTGAGTAACGCAAATGTAATAACTCTTTGTATTTTGATTGTCTTTGGTGTGTTTAATTGTTTGTTATGTTTATTAATACTGGATTTAGATCCACTTGTTACAAGTTTCTTGTAGAATGTAAATTCACTATAAATTAAGTTGAACCTCACGTAATTCTGTGGATATATTGTTGATTGTTAAGCTTTTACGTATGCTATGTTCTGTTATTTAAATTTACATTTGTTGTTTGTTACCTTTTATATGGTGTGATTTAGTTTTATATTAAAATGCATAAGACATCACTGGTGTCAAACTAAAATTATGCATTTGTGACTACCAATACAATAAAACCTCTATAAATTAATAATGTTGAGATTACACAAAATTTTTTTTTTAATTAATTTAGAGAGATGTTAATTTATAAATATATTAATTGAACCAAAAACTCAATTTGAGACTATAAAATTATATTAATTTATAGAGATATTTAGTGTATATTAATTTATCGAATATTAATTTATAGAGGTTCTACTGTATTTATATAAAAATCAACAAAAACTTAAAAACTTGACTTTTAGGTTTGTGGAAAGATTGGTCACATGCAGTGTTTTTGCCATGTGGGGTTTGGTGCCGTTTGGTTTAATATACATTCCATAAATAGGAAGCCGATTCCTAAATAAGGCTGGTGTATTCCTTTGTTTTGTTTATCGCATTACGGAATTCATTTAATTTAGTTAGTTAGTTTTCTTAATAATTGGAACTTTTAGGGAGAATTTGGTTACTAATCAAAGTTAGATAGAAAATTAAGTGTATGCCAATGATTTAAACAGAATCTATATTATAATAGTTCACTTCTAATGCTCCTAAAGTTGTCCACGTCAACAAGTTTGTGGGTTCCACATTTAAATTTTAAAAGCTTATAATTTTTTTTAAATGATTATGAACAATGAACACACTTTAGCAAAGTGGTATAAGACATCTAATTAAATCTGCAAGTGTGTGGGTTCAAACCACGCAGCTGTTATGTATTTTAGTTTTTTCGTTTGGATTATTATCATATGAGCTTTTTAGTTTTTATGTTTTTTTTTCCTCTGGACTTATTGTTTAAACCCAAAATAGTGGAAAAATCCTAAAGTTTGACGAACTCAAACTCAAAAACAATTAAAAATGGATAAAAAACGAACATCCAAAAAAAAAAGAAAAAAAAAAACGAGTCTCACGTGGCACTATCATGTCCTAATATATATTTTTACTGTTAGAACATATTTCTTAATATATATATTCAAAAAATTATGTACGTGAAATAAAATAAAATAAATAGTTTTGTTATTTATAAAATATGTAATTTCTCTTAATTTCATTTTTATCAGACTCCGGCGGATGGATTTTCACAGTCGATGATGCCGTAAAGAAAAATACAAACATTATTCATGAACAAAATCCAAACTTACAAAAAAATATCTAAACCTATCTATTGAAACCCAAACAACAAATATTATCTTAAATTAAAGTTATTTTCAAATTGATAAATCGTTTAGTACAAATATAAATACTATAAATAAATATTTATATCATGAAACCATGTCGGCTCGAACTATTATCAGTGTTATAAAAAAAAAATATTTATATCAAGTTTTGACATCCGATATAAAAACTATTTCCAACATAAAAAAAAACAATATAGACATCTATTTTTATACACTAAAAACTATATTATAATTTAGTTATTCCTATAAATCTTATTTCGCATATAAATAACATTTAACACATTATATATACAATATTTTCACTTTGCACTCTTGCTACATTCTTTTCATTTCATCGTTATTTGGTATTATTAGAATAACCCACTAAACCAACAACCGAAAAAAACATAGATCCCGACCCCGCGCTTGCGCGGGGGTTATGCAGCTAGTGTAATCAATAACATTTAACCTTTATTTTATCCAGTTATATCCTCTATCTCCTTATTATTATTTGAGAAGCATTCTAAAAAAAATAAACCTTTACTTCATGTGTTGTTATCAAAATTGCCATTATTTATGTGTCATCATGAGAACCTTTCTTATGGCATTTAATAAATAACCCTTTTTACGTAGACTAATTACATATAGTGCCATTGATCATTTAATTTTTATATTAGTGTATACTATAATTGGTTCCTATGATTTACGTGTATATATTTTATTTTTATAGGATATTTTAAAATATATTTATTGCTTTCACATTTACATTTTTTTCATTTTATCTTGGTCATTTTGTTTTTTTTGCAACCTAATCAGCCGTACTTAAATTAATATCCCATTGTATACAATTTTTTATTTTTTATTAGATGCTCTTCATTCTACAAATTTAATATTGATGTATGAGTTTTTATATAGAGTGATTTGTGAGTTTTACATGTAATAATAAAACATTTCGTTGTTACTAGATAAAATCTACAATTTACAATAACTTACTCAGCTACTTTTTAATATGTGGGACCATATATTAAAATAATTTATTATTATATAAACTATAAGCTTAATTTGTATGTGAATCTCATTTTATAACTATATGTATATAGACATTCAGACTCCATGAATGTGAATGTAAATCTCATAAAGTATTCAAATATATCATTTTACAACATACATGTTTGATCGCAACTTTTTAAAGCCGATCAATAATATTTTTCCAATATTTCAAATCAGCTAAATGTATAACAATATATATGGCATTACTTCCCATTATATATTCACAAATTATTATTCGAAGAACTATTATAGGAAAGTCAAACCTTTACCAAGGTAAATTCGATCAGGTTAATTTCAAATCAGTCAAATCTATAACGATATATATGACATTACTTTCCGGTATATATTCACAAATTAGTATTCAAAGAATTATTATAGAAAAGTTTTGACTCAGACCTTTACATAGTTACATTTTATTAGGTTAATTTCAAATCCGCCAAATGTATATCGAATATATATGACATTACTTCTCGTTATATACTCACAAATTAGTATTCAAAGAATTATTATAGGAAAATTTTGACTCATACCTTTAGAAAATTACATTTGATCAGGTTAATATACATTAATTTACAAAGTTAATATTAGTTCCTAAATGTTGATTTCTTAATTAGTGTTAATTTCCATAATTTTAAAATTGGCAGCTAAAACATAGAAATTTATTTGTTTTGATTGTTGCTGAGATAATATTATTTGATTTCTAATCTTTCATAAGCAGAACCCTATAATTGATCTCCTATATATATCAACGGATTGAAATTCATTGGCATCACAACCAAACATTTTTCTACCTAGCAAAAAAAGTTATCATTAATTTCATCTCTGATTTGAAGACACTTCTCACAGGAATTTTGATTTTTTTTTTTGTTTTTAATAATTTTATCTAGCATTTTCTTATACCTATGTTTCATTTTATTTTATATTCATAATTATATTATGTAAACAATAATTATGTTGCTTATGTTATGTTTTATCTTAAATCCATAATAAATTTATATTTATCTTTACTTACTCTTATAGATTTATTTTCATACAATATACTTAAACTATACCAACAAATAAATCTATATGATTTAATAGCTAAAAATTATAATCTCTTTTAGTTCATCACTCCACGCATGGCGCAGATTTCCACCTAATTAGTGTAAGTAAACGGTAAATGAGGCACTTAGATAACATTGGAAAAATGAGGTATGACCAACACTTGCTGTGTACTATTGAAAATAACTAACCAAATTGTCACTTATATAATTGCCGCATTTATTTTTACTGTGCTATGTAAACTAGAGTATTCTGTTTCATATCAACCAAATTGTATAAGACATCAACTATATCCTAACCCTTAAATAATAAACTCTATCTCAAACTCATCAACAATACCTAAATACTAAATTCCAATCTCTAACCACTAAACCCTGACCCAAATCAGTAAACTCTAAAAATCCAAATATAAACTATAAATACAAATATAAATCATGAATCCAAATAGAATGGAACAAAATAAATAGTATAATAAAATATTGATGAAACTATGAAATATCTATGATTGCATAGTATAAATTATTAATGTCAATAATTTCATGGTAGAAATTAATGATGACCCCAATCTCACCCCACTCTCTAAAAACTAAACGCTAAATTCTAATTACTAAATCCAACACTCAAATATAAATCATAAAACCAAATATTAATATCCAATTCTCGATGATGATGTTCTCATTGTGCAAGAAATTAGTACATACCTCTAAAATATCAAATTTGAAGGTATGATAGATAATTCCATTTTCTTAGGAATAGTATAGAAATATGTAAACAATAAAAGATTATATCTGAAATAGTATAGCAACCCTCTTTTTTTGACACAACGACACATTTATGGGCCATGTCGTTATTCTTCACCACCGGATCTACATAAATGCCAATCAATTTTGATGCAATAATTCCAATCTCATTTGCAATATATAGAACATGATAGAATAATCTAAAATGTATAAGACATATTCTATAGACTTTATAACATATACTAGTCTATGGTTTATACATGGAAAGCGAGTCTATTTTATGCGAGATATAATAGTTAAGCTATAGTCTGTTTTATTCGAGATTTGCAAAATGATCCATGCACTTCAGATTGAAGAAAACGAACCGGCCAACATGAACTTACTATAAAGACAACTGTGAAAATGTCCATACCATTTAAAGTTGTGTAAGTAGAGTCAAGATAGTATAATACAGAAAACATGTGTGTGACTCTTTACTAACCATGACTTCTGA